AGAGGAAAAAGCTTCTGGTCCCTGTCCTGTCAGCATCCTGCTCGGGGGTGAGGGGTCAGCTGGCGTGGCCGCCCCTGCTCCCTCACAAGGCTCATACTGACTTTCCTAGTTTGTGGTTTTCTCTCCTGCTTCTCATTTTTGAGCAGCTCTTGTTCTTGCGAAGTTAGAAACTGCTGTGACTGGGTCTGAAGGTTTCATTCTTCTGGCAGACGTGCTGCTTCAGAGTTATTCGGGGCATGCCAAGGAGGCAGGGTAGGGCGGGAGGGAACCTGGGAACACCGGTGGAGGGGGAGCGGGCTCTGGTGTTGGGATTCGTGTTGGAACCTTGTTCGCCTGCAGCTCGGCTATGAATCACTATGTAAATCACAGTACACAGTTCCTTAGTGTTTACTAAAAAGAAAGAAATATATTTGGGGTTTTCAGAGCACCGTTCAGCTCTGGGCTGTACGGTGACCCTTTCTAGACATATTTTCTGTTGACTTTGCGTGAGAATGTTTGGTTTGTTTTTGTTTAGGAAGGGGAGCCTTCTGGAAAGAGAAAAGCAGAGGATGACGACAAAGCAAATAAAAAACATAAGAAGTACGTGATCAGTGACGAAGAAGAAGATGATGATGACTGAAGTACAAAATGTGAAACTGTTTTATATATTTTACTGTACAGTTTTGTTTTATAAATAGGATGTAAACAAGTTATTTTGATCGAAATGAATCGATTTGCTTTTCTGTAATTTTAATTGTAATAAAGCACTTTCTAAAGCAAGTCTTAGTCTTGGTTCTTTCCTCCAAAGTCAGTTGTTTCTGTTAACATTTTACAGTCCTGTATTTCAGTGAATTCTGCTGTTCTTTGCTGTCCCCCAGCCCTCATACAGGAGTCCTCCTGCAGCCAAGTGAGAGAAGGAAGGATTCTGCGGGGGTGCAGAGTTTAGTGGGACACGAAGGGAGCCTTTATTAGTGTTTTGCTGAGCTGCAGTCACAGAGTCTTCCAAACTGGGTGGCTTAAAGCCACAGAAATGTCTTCTCCCTCATTCTGGAGGCTTGAAATCCTCAGTTGTGGTGTTGGTTATACTCTACGGTAGTTTCCTTCCTGGGTTTGTCCGAGTTCTGGTGACACATACAGCCCTGGTTTGTTGTTGTTTTTAATTTGCTTTTTGGGTTACACCTGGCGATCCACTGGGGTTACTCCTGGCTTGTGCACTCAGGAATTACTCCTGGAGGTGCTCGAGGGACCATATGGGATGCTGGGAATTGAACCCGGTTGGCCACATGCAAGGCAAACGCCCTACCCGCTGTACTATCGCTCCAGCCCCCAGTCCTGGTTTGAGGTAAGAATTAATGCAGAAAGGAGTAGACAAGAGCCAGAGCCATAATACAGCAGAAAAGGTGCATGCCTTGCAATGCAGCCATCCCGGGTTCGATCCCTGGCACCAAGCACATGCACAGCCTTTGATTCCCCGAGCACTGCCAGGAGTAACTCCTGAGCATTGCCGGGTGTGGCCCAAAATATGAGCAAACAAAAAAGAGACATTAAATGTCAACATCTAATGAAGTTAGGATCTGGTGGGGCTGGGACTGGGGTAAGGCAAGAAAGCAGAGTCCTGTGAGCCCAAAGCCTGAAGCCCTGTACTGACCCTTTTGTGTGGAGTTTCAAAAACACTGTCCAGGGCGCTGGACCACTAGCTCAAACGCTGTGTGTGTGCTTGATGGGCCGGAGGCCCAGGGTTGATTCTAGGTCCCACATGGTCCCACATGGCCCTGGCAAGCACCATTGGCTGGGAGTGACCCTTGGGCATCACCGGGTGTGAACCAAAAGAAGGAATATTGTATTGCATCAGATATTTTTGTCTAACCTGCCTTGTATTCCAGAGCTGGCCTGCCCCATTCAGCATGGTGGTTGGTTTCCAGAGATAGTTAAGTGTGAAACAGAAAGCTATGTTACCTTTATTTGGTTTTCCTTTTCTTTCAGTGGGGGGTGGGTGCTCCCAGCTGTGCTCAGGGGTCTGCGTAGTGCCAGGGATTGAACCGGGGTCTGCCCCATCAGGGCAAGCCCCTTCCCCAGTGTACTACTGCTCTGGCCCCGCGGAGTTTCACATTGAACGACTGTCTGAAGCCAGCATCCCTTCTACCATATTCTTTTACCTACCATGTGAACCATATTTAAAGGAATAGAAATTTGATTTTTTGGGGTGGGTTTTGAACTAGCAAATAGTAATTTATTGGGTTTCTTTTATGGGGGGTGGGGGTGAGGAGATGTCCATGCTATACCCAATGGTACTCAGGGCTTACATCTGCCCGTGCTCAGGATTAGTCACGGTGGGGTTCAGGGGACAATATCTGGTGCCAGGGATTGAACCCAGTAAGGCCCTTAATAACCCAGTACTATCTCTGTGGCCCTGCAAGTGTTTTTATTTTTCTTTTTGGGTCACACCCAGCGATGCACAGGGGTTATTCCTGGCTCTGCACTCAGGAATTACTCCTGGCGGTGCTTGGGGGACCATATGGGATGCCGGGGATTAAACTTGGGTCTACCGCATGCAAGGCAAAGGCCCTACCCGCTGTGCTGCCACTCCAGCCCCTGCAGGTGTATTTTAAATTCCCCTCACAGAAAATAGTCCTTTTCTGGGTTGCTCTTCTGCACACACTGAACTTTCCTTGATGAACAGCCTTTACCCACTTCCTGGTGCTGTTAGGGCCTCCTGGGAGTGGCGTTTAGGGGGTGTCCATCCTGAAGCCTGATTTTAGAGAACAGTGACATTAAAGACCTAAAGGCCTCTTTCCTAAATCGATAGCCTTCAGAGAGGCGTGCCTCCAAGGCAGCATATGGTTCTTCGAACCAAGCCCTGAGCACCAACGTGTGTGGCCCAAGGCCCAAAATTAAGACCATAGATTGGAACACCTGTGCCTGCCCGAGCCTATTCTTGCGGCATCCTTCACAGTAGCGTCACCAGGGGGATTCTGACTAGGAGATAACCCGCGTGTCAGTTACAGTCATCATCTGTCCGGTGTCTCCTACACGTTTTGCTCTTTTTGGTTTTCCGGCCACGCCCGGCAATGCTCAGGGGTCACTCCTGGGGCCGGAGTAATAGTACAGCGGGTAAGGCATTTGCCTTGCACGCGGTCCACCCAGATTTGATTCCTAATATCCCATATGGTCCCCTGAGTGCAGAGCCAGGAGTAACCCCTGGAGCATTGCTGAGTGTGTGTGATCCAAAAATCAGGAAAAAAAAAAAAAAAAGGAATCACTGGTGCTGCTCCGGGATGCTGGGGATTGAACCCGGGTCAGCTGTGTGCTAGGCAAGTGTGCTACCTGCTGCCCACTATCTCTTGCCCCCATGAACTTTTTGACAGGTCACACTCGGGGACCTTGCAGTGCAGGGGATTGGCCCTGGACCATGGTCCTCCCAATGCAGGCCAGGACCCTTACCCTCTGAACTAACTCCCTGGCTCCATGCTGTTTATTCACGGAAAAAGGTTGCTTTTCGCACCTTGTTTTCGCAGTAGTGGCCTTTCAGCAAGGCACGTCTTGTGTACGATTCTTTGGCTGTCAGAAGGGGGCGCCGTCTGCTCAGACAGTGAGGGGTATGAGGAGTAAGGCTCAAAGATCACCCAGAGAAGCAAAGGCACCCACAATGAGGCGAAGCCACATTCATTCCTCGTGGGTCAGCTATCTTGTGGGTGGCGCCCTTCGGTGATGGTCATTGTCATGGTGATATTTTTCTATGTCCCCACTGCCCTAGAGAGGAGAAGCAGGCAGAGCTCTGGATACTGGGCTCTGACTGGGCACAGACCTTCTCCCTCCAAAGCCTCAGCTCCCTGGAGGGCAGTGCTGCCATGTAAAGGGCCTGGAAACAGGCTTAAGAGTGTAGAATTCTGCCCAAGGCTTTCTCCCCAATCAGGCTCTTGCAGGCATGCGGCCACACAGGTGCAATGCTGAGCAATTTTAGCGCCCCCCAAATACCGACCTGAGATAACAGCCAGCACAGGGTTGCAGAAGAGCAATGGAGAACAAAGGACTTGTGGCTTTTTTTTTCTTGGTGCCACACCTGGATGTTCTTAGAGCTCACACCCAGCTCAGTGCCTGGGGGACCCTCTGGTGCCAGATGGAACCTGGACCTCCTTCGTGTCTGGTGCTCTCCAGCCCCTCAGCCTCCCAGCCCCGACTCTATCTTAGTAGGGGAAACATTCCAGGTTTCTAATGGGAAGCTAAAGAAGGTGTTAGTGTGGGCAAGTCCACCTCCTTCTCTGGCTCAACTTCGATTTGGGCATGACCATGGAAATCTGCCATGATGTATTTGCGTTTCCCTGCCTCTGAGTTCACTATGAAGTAGATTTTGCTGTTGTTGTTTGCTTTTTGGGTCACACCCGGCGATGCACAGGGGTTATTCCTGGCTTTGCACTCAGGTGCTCAGGGGACCATATGGGATGCTGGGAATCAAACCTGTGTCTGCCACGTGCAAGGCAAACGCCCAACCCACTGTATTATCGCTCCAGTCCTATGAAGTAGATTTTAAAATAGAAACAGAGAAAAAGAAATGGGTCATTTTTTACTCCATGCAGAAATTCAAGGTAGACATCAACATGTCCCTGCTCTTTTTTTTTCTCTTTTGGGGTGACACCCAGTGATGTCAGTGATGTTCAGGGGTTCACTCCTGGCAGTGCTTGGGGGACCATCTGGGATGCTAGGGATTGAACCCGGGTTGACTGCGTGCAAGGGAAACACCCTACCCGCTGTACTTTTTCTCTGGCCTCTTCTGTCTTTAGCGGCAATAAGGATTAAGCGTATGTGCAGCAGAACATGACATTTTATCAAAACAATTCTCTTTTAAAAAATTTATTATAGCAGATTTCTCCCTCTTAAATGAAAACAGGTATTTGCATGGAACAAACTTTACAAAGGTCTATTTACATGTAACTTTTCCAAAGTATCTATTGCACAAAGCAAGTATGTGGGTTATTTTATCAAAGAACAAAAATCTGCAATGTAATGACCACAAAAATTCTTGAAATCTTTAACAATCTAGTTTATTTAACAAAAAATGTTCATTTGGTCTTTTAAATGACAGGCACCCTTAGGGAATGTATTTTACGTATATTTTAGATTTCTAGCCTTTAGCCACATATTTATAGCACCAAAATCCGTAAAATTTCAGGTAGAAATACTGGAAAAAATAGAACTCCAGGCAAATATGAACATCAAATTTTATAAAATGGGCAATTAAAAAGTTTTAAAATAACAGTTATAAAATACAAAGAAAATTATTTGATAAGTTTAATTAGATTACAAAATGTTTTAGAAAATGCTTGGTTTAAAAAAAGACTATTTCAATGATCAAATTTTAGAAATGTCCAAAACTACCAAAAAGAGGTGCCAGGTTTTTAAAGATCAAAGTAAACAAGTTTTCTCTCATTATTCTTAAGACAATTTTTTTAAACAATGTTTATTCTTCCAATTCATAAACATACAAATATTTCTATTTTCTACAATATCTTTGTTTCTTTCGATGAGGCTTGTAGTTTTCAATTTGTAAAAAAAATTCACCTCCTGTTCATTCCAGGGCTTGATGACTTGGAACTTAAGACAATTTTCTGTAGTGAGGTGACTGACTACAGCTCAGATCAAACAAAATACCCAAGTCCTTCATACTCTGATAAACAGCTGAGTGAAAAAGCTATTACCCCCAAGTGGTCTGAGCACTTGTAGGTGGGGACCACCCACTGCTGTTTTACAAAGCATCATCTTTGTGGCAGGGAGGCCATGGTTTCCACATAGGTCACTGCAGAGAAGCCCTGAGGACAGGCCTAGCAGGGCCTGGACTCACACTCAGAGCGGCATATGGAAAGTGGGGTGGGCCCTTGCCCTGCACATGGCCACCCCAGGTCCATTCCCCTGCATCCCTTAAGATTCCCCGAGCCCTACCAGGAGTAAGCCCTGAGCACCACTGGCTATGGCCAAATAAAAAAAAAGTGGGAAGTGGCGGGTAGTTACACTGCTGCTAACTTGAAAAATCAGCCTTTCCTGTAAGGCAGTACAGAGATGATTCCCAGCCCCTTTGAAACACTGGATACTGATTTAAAATACAAGCACATCCCCCCGACCTTCGAAGCCTTTGCCTGCTGGGCGGGGCTGTAATAAACCACCCTAAGAAACTGCCTGTCGCTGAACTTTTCTGGCAGACAAATTTCCAATTTCAAAAAGGGTGACAAAATCCTTCCCGTAAGTGAGAGCAGGGTCGCACCCCTGGCCAGACACGGTCTGCTTTAGCACTGAGCCAGAGGATAGCTCAAATCTGGCATGGTGCAGGTATTTTTTTTTTTTTTTTTTAAATCTGAGCAAAGAATACAGGTCATAGGACTTAACCTTTCTGAAGAGTCATTTTCCTGTTGGGCTGGGATGAGGGAGAGTTTCGTCCCTGAGCTCAGCGGCTGTATGTGGTGCCCCTGCCTGCCCGCTCCCCAGGTCAAATCCCACCAGGATTCCATGGGCTGCACGAATGTTTTTTTCTCTTCTCCCAAATGACGGAGCACTGCGGCCTGCCTTTGTGGGGGAAGAAAATGGCTTTCCCACCCACACAGGGCTCTCTGCCACCCTGTTACAGAGGTGAGGGGTGTTAGAGAGGAATGTCTCAATGCATGATAAGCTCCGATCCTGGCCACAGCCACTGACACAATGCAAACAGGTGCTGAAGGCCTCCACAGTGGGGTGGTGACTTACAAGACTTTTAAGTTACAAGGCCCAGTTCATGTGTTCTAGATCATGGGACTGTGTCTACACTGTATTTGGGCCAAGTCTGCTACAGGCAAAGTCCCTTTTTATTTTGGGGTGTGGGCCACACCCAGCAATGCTTAAGGATCAATCCCTGGCAGTGGTAAAGGGTGGCACGATCTGTGGTGCCTGGGTTCAAACCAAGGCTGGCTGTGTACAGGACAAATGCCCTAAACCCTGTATCATCTCGCTGGACCCCCAAAGTCCCCACCCCTTTTTTTGCTTTTCGGGTCACACCCGGTGATGCGCAGGGGTTACTCCTGGCTTTGCACTCGGGAATGACTCCTGGCAATGCTCAGGGGACCATATGGGATGGTGGGAATCGAATTCGAGCCGGCCGTGTGCAAGGCAAACGCTGTACCCGCTGTATTATTGCTCCAGTCCCCCAAAGTCCCTTTTTGATTTTAAAAAAGATTAATCCTTAAATTAAACTCTCTACATTCATGACTTTAGAAACTTCTTACAACGGAGTATTTGTGTGTGTGTGTGTGTGTGTTTGTTCACATCCACCAGTGCTCAGGGGCCAATCTGGGGTGCTGGGGATTGAACCTGGATAGGACATGTGCAAGGCAAGCGTCTTACCCACTGTTCTATCTCTCCAGCCCGTAAAACTGTATTTTTTAACCTGACTCATAAGACTATTCAATGAAGCTAAAATAAAACTGTAGCTGAAAGTAGAAATAAAGCTTTACAAAATTATCATCTATCTTTATAACCTGAAACTGGCAACAACTTAAATGAGGAATAAATGCAGTTAAAAACAGCTTTCCAGTCTTTCCCCTTCTGGCCAGGGAAGGCCTACTGGTGGTCACCTTCCACTCGTCTCTTGCGAACTGTAAGAAAAAGAGAAAAAAAAGTGAGCAACCAGAGTTTACATGGAGTCTGTTATATTTGTACAGAGACGAAATGTCCATTTCTAGTCCATGTGGCTATTAAAACCAAAACGGGAATGAAGGTGCTCACCTTTGCACCTAGTTCAATCCTCTTCACCATATATGGCCAATTCCGCCGCCACCCCCCGCCGGCCCTCTCTCTCCACCGCACCAGAAAAACCCATCCACAGCCAGAGCACCTTCAACTGGCCAAGCACATGCAGTACAGGTAGGAAGCAGCCTGGATTCCGTTTCCTGGATTCCAGGCAGCTGGCACCACATGGTCTGAGTACCACCAGGAGCGATTATCCATCATCTTCTCCCATATGCTACCCCCGCTCCCCCCACCCCCCACCAAAGACCATTCACATCTTTCATCACTGTTGTCTACATGATTAGAGCTGAGGGGATTCAAAATAAAACTGTCCACACCTCATCTGTACTTAGAAATCTAAACTAAATGGCTGGCGATCATCTTAAAGTCTCTGTATCTGTCTCAGTGAAGAAGAAAATTCTTTCTCCGTGTACTAGGATTAATAAAATACTGAGTTAAGTTCTGAGAAGACACTAAGGCAGCTGGGCTTAGTGGGCACTGAAAGCAACCACTGCATGCTCTTCTGATGAGACACGACAACGCATTCCTTAGTCTGCCAGAGAACATTCTGCCAGTCGGCCCGTCATTTTTAAAGTGATTTGCAGTTTTCTCTGAATTTTCCTTGCCTCATCTTCCACCCATCACTTCGGAGTTTGGAGAAAACAGACATCAAGTAAGGGAGGTCCCCGCGGGCTCCAGTACAGCAGGTAGGGCATTTGCCTTGCACGTGGCTGAACGGGGTTCAATCCTTGGCATCCTTATAATTCCTCGAGCCAGCCAGGAGTAAGCCCTGAGCACTACCAGTGTGGCCCAACTCCTATCCCCCCCAAAAAAGAGTAAAATTAAAAAAAAACAAAGGAGATCTCTGACCCTCATCTTATGGCGAGGGTGCATCTGACACCATAAATTTTTTGCTGCAAAAGGAGCCAAAGAACGAGTTGGGCTGACAGAGGAAAGGGACTGGTGGCCGGAACCACTGAGCTGTGCTCACTGCCCCCAGCAGCACCTCCGAGAGCCAGCCGGGCTCCTGGGCACTGTGGCAGCTCCCATGAGAGACGAAGAGCTTCCAGGCTTTGGACCCAGCAGCAAGGAAGAGTGTGAGTCTTGGTCCAAGCACTCCTTTGAGGGTGCTCATGGTGTGTTAACCTTACTGAGATCTGACTTGTCTTCAGATTAGTGACATCTGTGCCTCCCACAGTGCCAGAACAAGGTGGCCCCTAGGCCGACTTTGTGGGCTAGGAAAGCCGCTGAGCTTTCAGTTAATAAGAACAAAAGGGCAATGTGCGTATTCTTTTTCTTTGTTTTTGGGCCTCATCTGATGATGCTCAGGGATTACTCTGGGCTCTGCACTCAGGAATTACTCCGTATACTCAGGCAACCATATGGGATGCTGGGGACTGAACCTGGGTCGGCCACCTGCAAGGTAAGCACTTTATCTGCCGTACTATCGCTCCAGTCCCAAACTCCATACTCTTAAGTTCCCCTTTTTCTGTTATACGGTTGGCGTATTAATGTTGTATTTTTCTGGTGTCATGAAGGACTGACTCTTCAGGCTGGTGATTTTGATTAACAGGGGAACAGAAAGCCTGTTGGCCAGTGGCCAGCAGAGGCTGGGCCACTCCCATGCTGCGCAGACAGCAAGCGTGGAAATGAAGCCCAGAAGGTGGCAAAGTCAAGTTCCCATAAGCACTTCTATACTCCCCTAATTAAGCCTTTCTCTGCGATCATGCTCCTAGGGGACAAAGCTCATGGGAAAACAGACATGTTATGAATGTACAGTACATGCACATAACCTTAGAGAACTGTCTGAAAGACAAACCAGAGCTCTATTTTGAGGACGATTTCAAGAACATTTTGAATCATAGCAGGGTTTGGAAGTTACAGGATCCCTAAGACAGTGGAGCAAGCAAAAAAAAAGTGTAGAGGTGGATTATGTGGTTAGTTGGCATACAAACAGTCAAGTGAAACTCAAGAGTTCACACAAACGTGCAGGTGTACCACAGCACCTCCGTACTGTTGGGGCTCCGACAGCTCTTAGCTGGAGAGGCAGCAAGAAGGTCAGATTATTTCAAGGCATAGCTGAGACTAAGAAAACGAGGGAGAGAAAGAGAGAGAGAGACACGATCAAAATCAGAACACCAGAGAGCTGACGTCGCCCCCATGTGCAAAGTGGGAAAGAAAAATGACAGGACCGAGAGACTCAGTAGAGGATGCAGGTTTTACTCTCGGTGTCTTTCTCGTGACCTCTTTTGGGTCTCACTGTAGCCTGGACCACAGTCGGGGGTGGAAATGGTGACGTGTAACCTCGCTGTCTCTCATGGTACAAATATGTTACTTTAAGCATCTTAAGAGATCTGTATATGAAACTCAGAGAGAACCACACTCTTTCCCAGTGAATTTTCGAGCCCCCATGCCAGCTCAGTCCCACGCCTGCCCCCACCATAGTCACTGCTTCAGATGACATCATTCTCTTCTGGGAGCCTCGGACAGCAGTTTACTCTGGACCTGGCACCCTGCTAGCTCAGAGACTAACTCCCTTCCCTCTGCCTTCCTCCCTATTCTGCACCTTCTCTCACTGTTCCCACTGCGGGGGACTTAATCTCCTTTTGTGCCCACGTTCCCGCAGCACAAAGATAAACTGGGAGCCGCATTTTATCGTGAATTTCGAGATGGTGGCCTACAGCTTCATTTTTTTGTTCTTATTCCATACCGCGGCGGTTCGCGATGGGGTGCTGAGGCTCTTTCCCAAGGCTCCTCCCCCGCACCTTCCGTCTACCCTGCCAGAAATCTGTATTCTACCATCAAACAATTTTTCTTAAGAAATCTGTCCAAAGAGCTCAGCATGCTGCTGGGACCAAAAAAATTGGTGAGTAGGACCCAGGAAAGCTCAGAAGAACAAATCGATGAACAACGGGAGGACCGTCAACCGTCGAAGTTTAGATCTATTTTTAATTCAAAAAAGTTACACTTGGGTCCAAATTCTATCACTTTCTGTGCTCACCTTATCTTATGACAGGCATAATTTTTAAGAGAATTCTTAAAATCGTCTTAGCAAACGATTTTAGATACAGGATCTCAGGCTCTTTGAACATAGGTGGTAACAATAAAATGCAATGTACTAAAAAGGAAACCTTTTTTAGAGCCAATAATCTCTATTCTTAAAGCTTTTCCGTTATTCCTGAAGTTTATTTTTTTATTTATTTTGCTTTTTGGGTCACACCCGGCGATGCACAGGGGCTACTCCTGGCTCTGCGCTCAGAAATTATCCCTGGCGGTGCTCAGGGGACCGTATGGGACACTGGGAATCGAACCCGGGTCAGCCGCGTGCAAGGTAAACGCCCTATCCTCTGTGCTATTGCTCCAGCCCCATTTCTGAAGTTGAACAATACTTCTCTAAAGTGCACAGACTTTAAAAATAGAAGTAGGTGGGGCTGGAGCAATAGCACAGCCAGTAGGGCGTTTGCCTTGCACGTGGCCGACCCAGGTTCAATTCCCATATGGTCCCCCAAGCACTGCCAGGAATGATTCCTGAGTGCACTGAGCATCGGCTGGGTGTGACCCAAAAAGCAAAAATAAAATAAAATAAAATAATAATAGAAGTAGGGAACGAATATAAAACAAGGAGCAAACTACACCTACAATCAAGAATGCTACAAAATACATCAATTTTTTTTTTTTCAAAAGCAAGGAGTGGGGCCAGTGCAGTGTTACAGTAGGCAGAGCACTTGCCTTGCACGCGCAGACCTAGGTTTTATCCAAATGGTCCCCTGAATATCACTGGGTTTGTGCTGCCCGCCCCCCCAATTTATTTTTTTTAGAGCAAGAAGTTTGGAGCCAGAGAGACAGTCCGGGAGTTACAGTGCTCATACTGCACGTGGCTGACCCTGATCTATCCCTAGCACCATATGGCCTCACCAGGTGAGAGTCACGCAGCTTTAATTCTGACTTAAATATGTCTTAGAAAAAAAAATTTCCAATGGCGAACATCAAACATGAGTCCATCTTTAGTAACAAGTCAAAACAAAATGATAATAAGCATTGTACTCTCAGCAGTTCAATAGGAGCCCACCTGTCCTCTGGAGACCAAATATTTCCATACCACTGGGTATGAAGTGGGCAAACATGATCATTTTTCTACATCTTATAATATACAACTGGATTTCTAAACAGGCTGATCTGACAAAGAGATCGCTTTAAAAACTTTCCTATAGGGGCTGGAGAGAAAGGTTAACAGGATGAGCTAGGAGCAGCCCCCAGCACTGCTGGGGATGGCTCTCCCCTCAACTAAACAAAACACCTTTCCTGGGATGTTGAAATATTTTACAACTTCTATGGGTGACTTGTCATTGACAAAAAAAATCTTGGTTCAATGAAGCACTTAAATGCTGGCTGCTGAAAACCAGTCACGTAGGGGGGAATTCTGACAGAAGCTAATTTTATCCACAAAGCCGATAATCCCAGCTTCCGTTACACTGAACTCCAATTCGGTCACACTGGACTATGCAGACATTAGTGAGAGTCAAAGGAGTTCGCTCAGGAGGCTAGTCCCCGAGCACTGACCCTGAGCACACTTCCATGCTTCCCTCCCCCTAAAAGTAGCCTGGAAACCAAAATTCACTTTAGAAAAAAACTCCTTCAGATCATGAAGGCTCTAATTCAGAGATCGGACTTGGGACCGCGTGCGTCTTACCTAAGTCATTGTTCTTCGTTATGGCATTAGCTGCTCTGGTCCGGGGTCCCTGCTGTGTGAACTGATATCCAAACTTAAGGATGTTTGTATTCTCCTCAAGCATCTTGGCAATTTCCAATTCTGCAGCTGTCCCCAACTGCTGTCTCTATGTAAATTAATGTAAAGAATAATATTAGTATTAGATACCAAGACCAAGATACCAAGGCATCTGCTGTTTTCTGGTTGAAAATATTTCAATTCTTCAATATTTCAACATATGTAAGAAAAATACAGGTGGAAGCCGGAGAGGGTGTGCAGGGGGGAAGGGGCTGCCTTTCATGTGGCTGACCCTGGTTTGGTCCCTGAGCATCACTAGGTGTGTCCTAAGGGCCCCCAGAACCCAGGGCTTCCTCAGGTTCTTGCACAGAACTGCTTGACCCAGCTGGCTGAGAATCACTGGAGAGGCCTGCACACCACTTAGGACGACAAAATTAACTGGGGGGCTGGAGTGATAGCACAGAGGGTAGGGTGTTTGCCTTGCATGCAGCTGACCCAAGTTCGATTCCCAGCATCCCATATCATCCCCCCGAGCATCGCCAGGAGTAATTCCTGAGTGCAGAGCCAGGAGTAACCCCTGTGCATTGTCGGGTGTGACCATAAATAAATAAACAAACAAACAAACTGGGGATCACGGAACTGTAAGAAGCTGGGCTGCACACACTCACCTGGTTGTCAATCTTGAGCTCTGACAGGGTTTCATTATCTCTTAAAGCATCGATCAGTGCTAAGACGCCGGTTGCTGTAATAAAGTTGGACTCCAAATTTAAGCTCTTCAAAGTTTTGTTCACTCTGAGCATGTCTGCAAAAGCCTAGAAATAAGGAAAACCTGTAAGAACTCTTATTGTACACTTCATCCGCCTCAAGGAACACGCTCATCAACATTTCTATTTTCTCTCTTTTGCAGGAGCACTGGGGGAGCACTTCAAAGGGAGCCCAGGAGCCCAGGGACCAGTCAGCTGGGCTGGCAACATACATGACAAGATGTAGGGCTTGAGCAGAATGGAGGAAATAGGTAAACGTGGCGTGAGGGAGACCCCAGAGCACTGGAGCACAGGCTCTGCATGTGGGCATTCTGGGGCATTCCGGGGTCCATCCCAGCAGTGCCTCGTGCCCTGAGCAGCACGGGAGTGGGCAATCTAAGATATGAGGCCTGAGCTCAGGGAGATCCGGGGAAGCACCAAAAGATTTTGATCTCTGTTCTTGATGATATCAGTTGCTGCTGGAAGGTTCTGAGGAAAGGGATGAGATCACTTATGTTTTTAGGAAAGGAATTGGCATTTGTCTAGATTAAGATGGGAAGAGGCAGCTCAGGTAAGAAGTTACTGGAGTAGGGGGGTGGAGTGATAGTACAGCAGGTAGGGTGTTTGCCTTACATGCAGCAAACCCAGGTTCGATTCCCAGCAACCTATATGGTCCCCCGAGCACCACCAGGAGTAACTCCTGAGTGTAGAGCCAGGAGTAACCCCTGAGTATCGCTGGGTGTGACCCAAAAAGAAAAGAAAACAAAACAAAACCAAAAATTTGGTTACTACAGTAACCCAAATTTCTAAAAAGAAAGCAGTGGCCTGGAGCAGGGTGGTGGTTGTAGAATGATAAGAAGTGGTCAGACAAGGACTTAATGACCCCCTGGTGAAATATAACAATTTTTGTAAGTATTCTTTTACTTAAGTATTTCTTGGTTACTTGAAACAAGCAATATAACCAAGTATTTCTTGTTTACTGAAACAAGCAGTGACTTGTGACAAGCAATATAAAATAAACTGTTTAGTGCCTGCTAAGGGCGCAGGCTTTGTAGATGACTGGGAAATGGGGACAGCAGCGAAGGGATGGTCACACTGGTGGTGGGACTGGAGCTGGCACATAGAATGCCTGTAACAGATGCATCAGGAACAAGTCTACAAACCACTGTCTAAATAAAGGGGGGCGTGGGGAAGACTGAAAAAAGAGAAAAAGGAAGCAGTCAGATTCTAGGAAGACGGAGCTGAGGAAAGTCAGGCTGGGAGAAAGGGAACCAGGAATGATTCCATCTTTTTATGTTTTAGCAAATAACTTTGAATTTACTGAGACAGGAAAGGGAATGCAAGACTAGGCATGGGATGAAGTCAGGAGTCTGGTCTGGGACTTAGACTTGGGATGCCCCTTAGAACATTGATATCAAGTTGTCAATCAGTAGCTGGGCACTGAGTATGGGGTTTACATAGACAATGCAATGGAAAGAGAATAAAAGCCTAGAACGAAACCTGGTGCTATTCCAATATTTGGAGACTGGATGGATGAGGAGGAATGAGAAAAATCAAAGGGTCAGCCCACAATCGAGTGAGGTTTATTTCAGGAATGCAACACTGGCCCAATACAGAAAAAGCTAACCAATGGAACATGGCATATTAATAAAGGACAAATATCACGATGATCTCAAAAGGCACATAAATAGGACAGAAATCTAAGGGTGAGGATGTGGCTCAGTGGCAGTGCACATGCTGTGCATATGTGAACTCCAGTTTGATTCTGGCACTGGAAAACAAAAGCTGACACAAAGACTAATAAATGGGACCCATATTTTAAAAAATATTATAGAAGTTCATGTGCTAGTGCCCTGGGTTTGATCTCTGGCACACAAAAAAGATGAAAATAATACGTGCTAAGAGTAAAATAAGTGGCTGGGGGCTGGAGAGATAGTACAGTGGATGGGGCGCTTGCCTTGCACATGGCCAGCTTGGGTTCGATTCCCTGATTTCCATATGATCTCCTGAGCACCACCAGTGCTAATTCCTGAGTGTAGAATCAGGAGTAAGCCCTGAACATCACTGGGTGTGGCCCAAAATCAAAATCAAAATCACAAAATGGCAGAATAGCAGTAAAATGTAATACTCCATTTACAGTTTTTCAAGTATCCCAGGGAGCTTTATTATTATTATTATTATTATTATTATTAGCAGCTGGAGTGATCGCACAGTGAGTAGGGCATTTGCCTTGCACACGGCTCCAGAGTTCGATTCCTCCGCCACTCTCAGAGAGCCCAGCAAGTACCGAGAGTATCTCGCCGCACGGCAAAGCCTGGCAAGCTACCCGTGACGTATTCGATATGCCAAACACAGTAACAAGTCTCACAATGTTACTGGGCTTGCCTGAGCAAATCGATGAACAATGGGAGGATAGTGACGGTGATGAAGATGATGATTTTTCTTTTTGGGTCACACCCAGCAATGCACAGAGGTTACTCCTGGCTCTGCACTCAGGAATTACTCCTGACAGTGCTCGGGAGACCATATGGGATGCTGGGAATTGAAGCCGGGTTAACTGTGTGCAAGGCAAATGCCCTACCACCTGTGCTATCACTCTTGCCCAACCCAGGGAGCTTTAACACTCCACTTACAATTTTTTTTTAAAATTTTTATTAGTGAAACACCATGAGGTAGTTGTGGACTTACAAGTTTTTGTGCTTGGGTTTCAGTTATACAATGATTGAGTACCCATCCCTCCACCAGTGCCCATTCCCCACCACCAATGATCCCAGTATCCCTCCCACCCCCCCATTCCCCCATCCCATCCTGCCTCTGTGGCAGGGCATCCCCTTTTGTTCTCTCTCCTTTTGGGTGTTGAGGTACCACTTACAATTTTAAAGTATCCCAGGTTGCCTTGCATGTGGCTGACCCCATACGGTCCCTCGAGCACTGCCAGGGGTCACTCCTGAGCGCCGAGGAACAGGACTAGCCTTGAACCCAGCTGAGTGTATACCCTTTCCCTCTCAAATACATACCACAGGAGAGTCTAGAGCAGTGGTGCAGTGGCTTGGAGCACTGGCCTTAGAAACAGGCAGTCATGAGTCAAGTTCCTAATGCCCCACATGTGCCAACCACAACACTGGCAGCTCCGTTACAGCAGTCTGCTGCAAGGTGTGTGTAGGCACCACAACAAGGGGTGTGCCCTCACCCCCCCTCCACACCACACACACACACACACACACACACACACACACACACACACACTCCCCGGTCAAAAGAATGGAGTTTAGTGTAAGTAAAAGATGCATCAGGGACAGAGTCAGGGAGCATGAACCACAGCCGGCATATATGTGAGAACCACAACTTGTGTACAAACACTGCAGGTTGATGTGTAACAAATATGTGAGCAAACCACAACAAGGAAGGGAAGGGAGAAAAGAAAGATTTAAAAAAAATAGTAATTCATATGGAGTTCATGCTCACTTCAGTCAGCTTAATCAGTGGTTGAATAGCAGTACTCCTGTACTTAAAAAAAAAATTTTTTTTTTCTTTTTGGGTCACACCCGGCGATGCACAGGAATTACTTCTGGTTCATGCACTCCGGAATTACTCCTGGTGGTGCTCGGGGGACCATATGGGATGCTGGGAATCAAATTTGGGTTGGCTGCGTGCAAGGCAAATGCCCTACCCGCTGTGCTCTAGCCTCTAAAAAAAAGTTTTAAAAAATTCATAGGAAGGGTATCAGGGGCAGGGGCGGGGGGGGGGGGTGGGGGGTGGGGAGAATGACGACAAAAAAGGGCAATAAGAAAAACTATTGCTCAATACAGAAATAAACATCAACTGGCAAAAGGCAGCGAACTTAAGTTTATGAAATTTAAGCAGCTTCACAGCACAGCCTGGCGATGGGCCAGTTGGGAGGGTCTCGGAAGAGCTTTACTTACGGCAGCGACGGGGTCGTTGCTCCGGGTGGCTGCAAGGCTGAACGCTCTCACGTGTGTGTTGGTTTCCAAAGCTTTGGCAAAATCTTTTAGGGTTGGAATTGGGATATTCTTGAAAGACAATAATGTTGGTTACATTTTAGTTTTCATGAAATTCAGCACGTCAAGTCAGTCTATTTGTACTTCCTTGCTTTGCAATGTGCTCAGAAATCACCGGCCCTCAGTGGCCAGCTCCTGGATGGCGGCGCCCAGAGTCTGTCTGTCTGTCTGATTTCTCTGCTCACAGAATGCTTGCACCACTGACCTAGCCCAAAATGTTATCGCTGATTTCTCCAGTGGTTCAGGTTAAAGATGCTCGGGCTGAAAAACCACAGTAGCACGGGTGGGGTGTCGGACTTGCATGCAGCAAACTTAGGTTCAAGTCATGGCATCATTTGTGGTTCCCCAAGCTCTGCCCGAGCCAGGAGTAAACCTTGGGCACCATGGATATGGCTCAAAACCCGGGGGTGGGAGGAAGGTAAGAGAGGCTCTTCTCATAAAATTACTGACAATGTCAGCAGTCAAGCCTGAACTATTCTGAGTGGATCTTGTTCTTCCTTCAGAGAGGGGGGCACAGCTGTCTCTAAGGAGTGTGATTACGAGGCAGATGATGATATTCTTGGCCATTCTCTCTCAGCACCCTGTAGTTTAAGCAAATTACATTACAGAAATGTAAAAAAGTTCTAGAAAGCCAATCTCTCTCTTCAGTAGCAACATTTCAGTTCTCTCCAGTCTGGTTAGTTCTGGATCATTACTGCTGATTTATAGATAAGTATGTGGTTAAAATAATAAGATTAAAAATGAATTAAGAACATTCGGTTTCCCCCAAGGCTTTCTTTTCTCTCCTCTACCCAGAAAGGCGAAACCACTAAACAGGCAGAGATCTTATAAATCCTAGATTTTCATAAAGAATCTCCCTCTACCCATCAATTCACATAAATGTGAAATGGGAACTCTGATCCTCATTTTTGGGGTGCTTGCCTAGCATCTGATCATGAAATGATCTGAGAACCAGTAGGGGTCCCTCCTGAGCACAAAGCCAGGAACAGTCCCCTAGAGCACCTCCAGTTGGAATGAAACCCCAAAATAGAAACAAAATGGAAATACGAAAATAAAATGAGAAATTTACAGTGACACTATTATACAATAGCCCAAACCCAAGAAACTCTGAACTTAGTTTCTGTTATTTAGCCTATGTCCTCTTAATTCATGTTTTCTATCTGATTCCCAAGAGAAAGTTGGATTTAAAAAAATTTTAAAGTGTGTGTGTGTGTGTGTGTGTGTGTGTGTGTGTGTGTGTGTGTATGTGTGTGTGGTTGGACAGTGGGTAGGCATTTGCCTTATACTCGGTCAACTCAGGTTCGATCCCTGGTATCCTATACTGTTCTCTGAGTAAAGAGCCAGGGATAAGCCCTGAGCACCACTGGGTGCGGCCCCAAACCAAACAACCAAATAGACCTCCCAAGGGATGCTGGGAGGCCGACAGCCCCATCATGAGTCCTGGTCAGCTGGGCCCGAGGTGCTCACTAGGCCTCCAAGGGCTGCAACCGGAGACCACGTGGTGCTGGGAATCAAACCTGAACTGGGCACGTGCTAGACAAGCACCCTGACCAACGTGACCAGCTCCCTGAATACCAGGTTTGCCATTCCAGAGAAAATGTGACCACACAAACACCGGTATCTGAAAGTGTATTATAGCTCTAACATTAATTCCAAATTGGAAGTAACTCCTGTTTATCAATATGTGAATGGACAAACAGGTGGCGGTGTTCACACAAGGGCAAACTACAAAGGAACAAAAAGCTGCCCGTACCGGACAGTGACCCTGCTGTGTCCACAGTCCCTCCACCACCTGCCACAACACGCCAGTCCGGTTTGTATACTTGCTCTTGAGGACATTTGTGCAAACACAAGATTGCCTCAAGATGCATTTCTGGGGGCTGTGGCCCTCTTAAGTGACAAATAACTAGACCAACTATAGTTCTACAACACAATACTTCAGATGCATTGTGCTCAGTGGAAGAAGTCAGCCTTGAAAGACAGTATACTCTAAATTCCATTTAAATGACATTCTGGAGAAGGTGAAATGACCAGGGTGGAGGTTGTGGGGGACGGGACCCACCGATGGCTGTCGGGCTAGAGCTGTGGGCAGAGAATGAGGAGAGCAGGATCAGATATGTTTTGGCATCTGACCATGGGGTGGTTGTACAACTCTGCATTTGCCAAAACTCACGAAACGGTATACTAATAAGGGAGAATTTTACTACAAGAAGCAAGTACCCTACCTGCTATACTGTCTCCACAGTCCCAAGAAACCTAATTAAACATTCTCTCTCTCCCTCTCCCTCCCTCCTCCCCTCTCTCATAACTGAAAGGGCTAGAGAGATGATAGCTCACCAGGCTGAGTGATCCTAGTGATGCTTTGCATGTGGAAGGCCTGGGTTCAACTATCTCTGTCACCACACAGTCCCCTGAGCATCACCAGGTGTGGCCAGAAAGATAGCAGAGCTGGTAAGGTAGTTTACCTTGCACGTGGCTGACCAGAGACTGGTTCCTGGCACTGCATATAGATTATATATATAACACATGTCATGGTCCTTCCATTGTTCATCGATTTGCTCGAGCGGGCCCAGTAACGTCTCCATTGTGAGACTTGTTGTTACTGTGTTTGGCATATCGTATACGTCACGGGTAGCTTGCCAGGCTCTGCCTGGAGCAATATAACATATACACACACACACGTATGTGTGTGTGTATGTATATATTTTGTTGTTGGGTTTGGGGTCACACCCGGTGATGCTCAGGTGTTACTCCTGGCTCTGCACTCAGGAAACTCCTGGCGGTACTGTGGAACTATATGGGATGTTAGGAATTGAACACTGGTTGGTCACATGCAAGGCAAGTACCTTACTGGATGTGCTATCAGGGGTAAGGGTGGGAGCCTTGTATTTTTATATGATAATCTTTTTATTTGTTTTTGGTGATTTGGGGGCAACACCAGCCTGTACTCCGGGCTTACTCCTGGCTTGGCACTAAGGGATCACTCCTGGCAGGGCTTGGGGGACATATGTGGTGCTGGAGATGAAATCCTGGTCGGCTGCATGCAAGGTAAGTGCCCTATTTCTCTAACCACTATAAACTTTTTAGAAAGCAAATCAGAAAAATACCAAAAGACTATGCTGGCACACTGTTGAAAGACAAAACTAATGTAGACCAGAAATAGATGAAATCAAAACCACCTAGTCTTCATCCTAGGGCCAACTAACTCAAAGATGGCTATTCAAAACAACTTTATTATTTGCTTATCAGCACACCAACCTTAATATTATTCAAATTAACTTCAACAAGACGCATGTCATTTTCTTTAATTCTCTTTAAACTCTCTTCAACATTGGTAGGATTTGGTGGTTCATCAAATACTGGAAGAATCTTTTCACCTTTGACCACATCTGTTAACAAACCCAAAAGAGCAAGCATGTCATAGAAAGTCAGAGCATGCGTACATGCGTGTGCGCGCACACACACACACACACACAGACACAGACACAGACACACACACGCACACACACCCCACCACCACTACCACCACCACCACCACACCACCACCCCCAGACCAACTTAAGAGGATTTTCCTCAAAGGCAATAAAAAGATCTAGACACTAGACAGCTTGGAATATATATTTGAAGAAAATGTCCTTATTATTTTCAGATATATCAAGGAGGAGATGAAGAGAGTAAAACTATATGGTCCCAAAAGTCTGGTTCAGAAGGTCTAAATTGCCATGGGGCAGATTTAGGTTCTGTCAGAGAGAAATTTTCCTTTCTAATCGCGCTCCACTAGAAGGAAGATCCCTCTCACAGAAAAGTTCAAGATGGGAGGTCAGGGGCTGGAGAAGCACTATCTTACTGGCTGGAAAAATGAAGTGATTATTCTTCCTCAGTTGGAAAGTTATATAACCAAAAAAAAAAGTTATACAACCAAACAGTTTCTTTTTCCCATTCCATAGAATGTGTGTATTTAAAAAGCTTTGACCCTAAGGAGGAGAGTGGAGTCAGTGTGGGATGTTGAAACCACTGGGAAATGTTTATGGGGAACTTGAAAGGAAGAGATCAGGTTGCCAACATATGAACCCACTGATAATCCTCACACACTCCCCCAAGAGCAATAACCAGACTTGCTCTGCTTCCTGACATGATTTAATCACCTCAGGAAGCCTTCTTGATAACAAAAAACTTCATCTGATGAAGCCCTGGAGGTGTAAAATGAAACCGCGAGATTGCAATTAGCCAAATCCAGAATGGGGGAGATTCTACAGGCAAGGCCAGTTTCTTCCTGACAAACAAAAAGGGGTAGGAGAGCTGAAGAGACGCCCTCGGAATGCGCCACAGGAAAACAGCACTGCTTTAGGTTGCTTAATATCTCACATCTTCCACAAGATTTCGGGAGTGGATGATTCTGTGGTTTCTTCCTGCTCTGATCTTAGAATGTGGTTTCTGGGTTAGCACTGCTGGCAGGATTTCTTGAAGCACACTGAAATGCCAATGGGCAGCAAGTTGGACTGGCTGTTTTACATTGTTTCCAGAAGTATTCATTAGTGAGGTGAGCGCTGCTTCTATTGCGTTTGCTGACACACCAACGAAACAAAACAAAAACTCATGCTATTCTCTCTTCGCTGGTTTCTTCTGTTAATTCCACCCAATGGAATCTTAGCTCTCAGAAACCAGTTTAGAACGCATATACTGAGTTGAGAGAAGAAGAAAACAAAATTCACATAACAAAAGCTTGCAAGTCACAGCTGTAGGTACTCACTTGAAAAATGTTCTTGGTCGACACCATTACTATTGCCCACTATACTACAGAACTGGGTATTCGTGATCAAGTTGTGCATTCCAAGAATGGCTATAAATATAAAGAAAAAAGAAAGTTACCTTCTATCAATGACTGCGACACTTGGAAATTTTTCTCTAAGTTGAGATAAAACAGACTTCATAGGCAAAAAAAAAAAAAGAAGTGATTAAAAACTACAGGTTGCTGGATAGTACAAGTAGGATATCTGCCATGAAAGTGGTCACCCAGGTTCAACCCCCAACACTCCAGATGGTCCCCCAGAGCACCACCAGGAGTGATTCCTGAATGTAGAGCTGGGAAGAAGCCCTGATTATCACCTGGTGTGGTTCAAAATCCAAAAAACAAAAACAAACAAGAAAAACCACACCTAGAAGTTTATTCTTCTCAGTAACGATTATTCTACTCCAATCCCGTTGCTCTCTGAATTTATGGTTCCCTAATACCTGAGTTCAGACAGAGCTGGAGCCAGCAAAACCTTCAAGTTAATCTATGCTAAGCACCATCTGGTGGTTAAGAAAAAAAATAGAAATTATTTATTTTTTAAAAATCGGTTTTTTAATTAACATATCAAAATTCTCAATAGTACCAATGTAATTGTTTGATACCTGTGGTGCCGCTACATCGTGCCCACCACCAGTGTATCGAGAAACGTTGGTTATAACTGTATGCGTTTATCTGAAGGATGTAAAAACACATTTGAAAAAACAATCTCTGGACTCACAAATGACTCTCAGAACCAAGCAGCTCGAGGCAGAGATGTTTCCAGAACTAGAGCCAGGCTGGTCTCACTGGAGCGCCTCAAACGGGAGCAGGCGTCCTCTCTCTGCCTGCCTGGGAACCCTGGCAGCCGCAAACCTCCAGAACCCAATCACCACCACCCTCACGGCAGACATTCATGGGCTCGTCCTGGGTCCCCCACACTAGAGAATAAATCCGCTGAAAAACCCAGCTATGCAGAACCAATGACTAAAAAAGCCAGGCCCCAACGGGTCAGGACTGGGCTGCCCCTTCCCAGCTCCCCAACCTTCCGGGTCCTGGCTGTCATGCCCATGAACTGCCTCCGGGTGCCATCTAAGCACATTAACAGCCATGATCCAGAGACTCACAAGTGAATCTCGGAACCAAGCAATTCACTGAAGAGATGTCTCCGGACCCCAATTATTTTAAAATTTTAGAATTCCAGGAGCATGCACTCCTGCAACATCTCATACATTGTTTTTTTTTTTTTTTTACTTTTCTTGAATCACATGAGATAAACCCTTACAGATATTTCATACTATTCATATCGCTGGAGCGATAGCACAGCGGGTAGGGCATTTGCCTTACAAGCGGCCAACATGGCCGACCCGAGTTCGATTCCTCCGCCCCTCTCGGAGAGCCCGGCAAGCTACCGAGAGTATCTCGCCCGCACGGCAGAGCCTGGCAAGCTCCCCGTGACGTATTCGATATGCCAGACACAGTAACAACAAAGTCTCCAATGGAGACGTTACTGGGCCTGCTCGAGCAAATCGACGATCAACGGGAGGGCCTTTACCTTTTTACCTTTACCATAACAAATCAATACAAAATAAATTATTTAGCATCTGCCTGTGGGGCAGGCTTGAGTGGTGGCATAGAAATTCAAAATAATGGTGGTGGGAAGGTGTAATGGTGATGGGACTGGTGTTAAAATATTGAATGTAATCAATTATTGTGAACAACGTTATGGGAATAACATTAACAAATTAAAAAAAGCTATCTCCACTAATCTCTAATAATTCTCCAGCAATAATTCTATATCAATAAATCAGTAATAATAATTCTCTAATATCTCTAATAATTCTGCTTAGGGCAGAATAATTCCCAATATGTGAGACCAACATATGCATCTACTGGTGAAGGACTACTGAAAGAGACCGAGGTGTATATTCCATTAGGATACTAAAAAAATAAAAAATCATAAAACCACGTCTCTCGTACCAACATGGGTAGAACTTGAAGTGTTTCTACTAAGTAAAATAAGTCAGGAAGGGAAAGACAATTATCGGATGGTTTCACTAATACGAGGAATATAATACCCCAAGCAAATGTACTGTAAAACACAACGAAAGTAAGCTGATGGTTACGGAAAGAGCAGGGGGCGGGGAGGCGGGGAGGGAAGAGCTTTGATTCTGACAGGGGCAGCACTATCCAGGGGCTGGAGGCAGACGGGGCTGTGGAATTACACTCCCGACATTCCATCCCTTAGACCAAGGGCAAACACATTCGGAAAACAACAAAGAGAAAACATGTGGTGTCTGCTTCACAGCACTTTGCCAGGCAAGCACGCATCTAAGGGAAATAGGTATGTTTTGGCATTCTGCTCCCTCCACCCTCATTCACAAACCCATTTGCTTTCGGAATTACCTGCAAGGTCACACAATTCTGTATCAGAAGCACTTGTCAAAGCTTCTTCTAATTCTGGATCAAGAGATACTTTTTCTTCTGCGAAAGTCTGCACAGGTTTCTGTTTAGGGATGAATATTTTTCCTACGAAACAAAGCAGTTTGTCAATTACGCTAGAAATACCATTAATGAAATGCCACACATTCTTCGCACAAATTATTTAAAATACGGTAGCTGGGCTGAAGAGATAATAAAGGAGGGAAGTAAGGCACTGGCTTTGTGTTCAGTTCACTCTGGTTCGATCCCCAACACTGTGTACGCTTACCTGTGCGCTGCTGGGGTTGCTCCTGAGCACAGAGCCAGGAATATTGCCTGAGCATCACTGGCAGTGGCCTACCCCTGCCCCGCCCCCACGCTAATATGTGTAAATAAAGCTATAAGGAAAAGTCAAGACTAATATAGATAAATAACTCATCTTTGATACGTGTTTCTAAGTTTCCAGGGAAACAGCCTGGCTTTACAAGTTGTACTGGTAAAACCTCACAATCAGATATGTGAGGCTCTACAATTAATTAGGTCCAATTCCTGGGTTCTGAAATCTAACTTTTTGTTTTACGGGGTATGGGGAAGACTCCCAAGGAGGGCTCAGGGGCCCGGGGATTGCTCCAGGTGGTATAGAGAGGGATGGACAAGTGCCAGGGCCCAGGGATGCAGACTCGTTTGAGCCCTCCTGGCCTGGGACACACCTGGGGGTCCTCAGGGACCATGTGGTACCAGGCTCTGAACCCGCACACTCTGTGTATTCCCTCACCATAGGCCTTTGTCCCTGGCCCCTCAAACTTGTCAGCAGTAGACTTTCTCCCCACATACCTACCTTTGTGGTGGCACACATAATTAATGTGTTCTTAGTGCCAGATATTGGTGTTCTGGAAAATACTAGTTTAATCTTTTTGTTTTTTTTTTACCCCGTGATGCACAGGGGTTACTCCTTGCTCTGGACTCAGGACTTACTCCTGGCGGTGCTCAGGGGACCATAATGGGATGCTGGGATTCCAACCTGGGTTGGCTGCATGCAAGGCAAATGTCCGACCCGCTGTGCTATATCACTTCAGCCCCATTAGATAATCTTTTACTACTAGTTCATACACCAGCTGTAAACAATGTATAGAGCTCAGAAAAAAACTTCCCTAAATCCAAACAAACTCAAATGAGTCCGAGACACCAAGTGCCTCCAACCCCTCAAAGAAACAAAACAAACAAAAACAAGAGTTACGATTTTGGGTTGCTAAGAATGTTAAAACAGTTCAGTAATGTTTCTGCATGACAAATGGCAGCTAGGGAAATAGAAGCCAAGATAAGAATTTATAGTTACTGAACTAATTACTGAAAAAGCAAAGCCAATCATCACTCCTCCTGGTTCCAAAGTACTTTTCGAAGCAGCTGATACAGTACTTGAAAGTGGTCTATAATGCAGAGAGCACGCCTGTAACTGTTCAGAATGAATGCGTTTTCCCGAGTTCAATCACCTGCATTTCTAAGTTTTCCTGAGTTCTATCTCACCTGCATTTCTGAGTATCTGTGGCAGTGGTTCTGAATATTGGCTACTCGGGGAACAGGCTAACAGACTTTAACTAGTTCTAACTAAACAGAGGCGAACATTGGACACCTGGGAAACTACAGATTTTTTTGATGTCTTGAGTCCTGTCCCTGGAGATTCCAATTTAATTGGTTTAATGTGCGCTTTGGGGCCATCTGTATTTTTAAAAGCTCTCTGAAGACTAATGCATACCAGCCAAGGATGAGAACCAATGGACTTCAGCAGTCAGTTACTAAACAAAACTACACAAGTTATCAGATAGCTGCCAGGGTCTTATTCTAGGGACCAAAGAATCTAAAGCATCATAAACGTCTAAAATGTTTATTTTTTTGTAATCCTCATCCACATTCCATAGAAGCACTATTCATATTTGATTCCTGCCACCCCCCCCAACACATGAAAACTTTTAATAGTTAAAAATACCAAAAGAATCTCATCAGCAAAAAAAAAAAAAAAGAGGCAAAGAAAAACAAAGTTTTCTAGGGTTTATGGAAGCTCTGTTGTGGCCAGAAATTTCCTGCTATTTTATACATCTCTGAAATAACTTGGTAACTTTCCTGGGACTCTTCTTTATGATAATCTAAGTAGAGATTTGTGCCATAGAGCGTTTAAGTCATAGGTGTTTTATATTATGTTTTTAATAATGCAAAACCCCAATTACCTTGCATTTCTTCATGGTTGATTCAATTTTAAAAATCAAAAGTTATCTTGTTATGCAAATATACACATATGACATAATGAGAGAAATTTGTTCTTTTTTTCTTTCTCTTCTATCTCTCTTCTTTTTTTTTTTTTGCGCCACACTCTGAGATGCTCAGGGATCATGCCTGGCAGTGCTTGGGGGACCATATGTGGTGCCATGGATCAAACCTGGGTTGGAAACATGCAAGGCAAGCATCCCACCCACTGTACTATCGCTCTAGCCCCCTCAAGATGGATTTTTAAGCAAAATTACAATTATTTACATTGCAGGAAAAAATAAAACACATGAAAATAAGCAATGTTCAGAGATCAGAAAAAACACCCCCAAACCCAAACAAACTCAAATGAGTCAGACACCAAGTGCCTCCACCTATCAAAGAAACAAAACAAACAAAAACAAGAGTTACGATTTTAGGTTGCTAAGAATGGTTCAGTAATGTTTCTGCAATGACAAATGGCAACTAAGGAAATAGAAGCCAAGATAAGAACTTATATAATAGTTACTTAAATACATGGCATTTATCCAAACCCATGTTTGTGCCAAGGGGAGAATGGAAAAAAAGGGAGTACCTTGCCAAGATCCCCGTTACTGTCACAAAACCCATCAGAAATAACTGTGAACCTTGGTAAACAGAGTGCCGGGGTTTTTACTAGTCCACACTCCTTTGCTCAGTATGGAACATACAGCTACCACAATGTTTAAGAATTAACCACTGCAGGGCCAGAGACACAGCACAGTGGCAGGATGCTTGCTTTGCATGCAGCCAACCCATGTTTGGCCCCTGGCATCCCCTCTGATGCCCTAAGCCCCAGGAGTGATTCCTGAGTGCACAGCCAGGAGTAACTCCTGAGCATCACCCACCTGAGCACCACCCAGGATAGCCCCAAAGCAACCAAACATGAGAATTAATTGTGGCTGAACTTCGACTGAAAATGAGTGACGAGAAAAGTGGAGCTGGACGAATACCGCAGTGGCTTAGTGTGTCCACACTGCAGGTTCACGGCCAGGGGTTCAAAGCCCTGGAGCCCTGCAAACATGACCACTCTCCTGGCAGCTCTGCTTTCTGTGTCTCCCAGCTCCCCCAGTGCAGGAGAGTCAAGCATGTGTGCACACCTCACAGAGGGGTGGAGCCCTGGTGAGCACCCCAACAAGGGAGATGTGTGAGCATCAGTCAGGAAGTGTGACCCCTGGCAGCCAGGTGTGGGAGCACCACAGCGACACCCCAGCCCCGGGCAAACACCACAACCGTAACATGCAGCCATGAATGCGACTCCCCTGTCAAAAAAAGAAAAAAAATAAAGAATGTGACCCCAATGTGTGCACCCAAATGTGTGCAAAACAGTGAGAATCATGAGTGCGCAGGGCGCCCTCTCACCTGACGTGTGACCACCCACTCTGCCCCCACACGGCAAGCTGAAAGTATGCATACAACAACAGCAGGTGGATGTGTGGTCCCCACGCATCACTTGCAGGATCAAGGAGTGGGGAAACTTGAGTTAACAAAAGTGAGCAAAAGTACAAGGAATATAAAATATAAAAAAAAAAAGAAAAAAGTGAACAATGGACTAAAACAATAAACCATCATAACAGTAACTGAAAGAAACGGGGTGGGCCTTTGCCTTGCACGGGGCTGACCTGGGTTCAATCCCCGGCATCCCATATGGTTCTCCGAGCACTGCCAGGAGTGAGTGATTCCTGAGTGCAAAGCCAGGAGTACCCCTCAGCATTGCTGGGTGTGACCCAAAAAGTCAAAAAAAAAAAAAAAACCCACCAAAACCTATCTTCTGTCACAAAAAAAAAAGCAAGACTGACTATTAATATTGGACAAAGTAGATTTCAATAATAGTAAAAAACTATTATTACCAGGGATAAAGATGCTTGTTTCATAATGATGCAATGGTCACTTCATGAAGGAGGCCATAATAATCCTACTTAAATATGATCAAAAAAAATATTCCAGTCTGACTCTGGAATCAAAGCCATACAGTATGGTATGTAAGTCATGCCAGGAAATAGTCGAAGGAAAGGAGTGTCCAGAATGAGTCTGGTGATGCTGTCAAAGAGTCCTCGGAAACAAGGCCCACCCATGTGCCATGTGGCTCACCCCTCACCCCTGAGAAGCCATGAGTCAAGCATTCCACAGAGCAGGAAAGAGTGAGGCTGGCGGCGGCCGAGTAACTAATCAGGGCAGCCCACTGTAACCTCGGCTCCGGTGCCTGGGAAGACCCCTGCCCGCAGTGACCCTTGGAACTTGACAGGTTTTGAGGACAAAAATCAGTCAGTTTTCATTTGGAACTTGGCAGAGACAGTTGCTCAAAAGCAGTGCATCCACACATTGCTTCAGTAGGTGGCTTACAGCTTTCTGGTTTATTCAGGGGGTGGAGTCCACAGCAGGTGGAGAAAAGTCACCTTTTTCTTTTTTTTTTGGAGTGACGCAGGTGAGTTTTCTGAAAGCTATGGGCACTGTGACGAACTTGGACAGGCCGTGAGAAGCAGCTGGTGAAGGGCAGCCTGGCTCTGTTCACCTGCGTGGAGTGGCGAGAATCCGTGGGAAGCAAACCCTAGGGCATTCTTTTCCCTGGGCGGGGAAGGGCACACAGCGAGGAGCAGTGGAGACGGCAGGGAGAGCAGGGGTGCACAGCGGGAAGGGAGAGGCCGTGAGTCAGCACCGTGGGGCTCCCGGGCCTGGGCGTGGCTGCGTGGCTCCAGCCCAGGCGGGGCATACGGAACACTCCGGCCACTGTAAGGAGCCTTTAGAGATTAGAAACAGGAAGACACTTGGAGAAGCAAAGGCATCGCGCTACGGAATATTAGTAACGACCAGAACAAACTCTGCCTCCAAGT